ATGTGTGGTGAGTGTTCTGGCGCACTATGGCTGTCGTCGCATCATCCAGGTGGATGCTGCACACTGGTGGTGGTGGAGGGGAGTCCCCATTACCTGTAAAGCACTTTGAGTGGAGTGTCCAGAAAAGCGCTATATCAGTGTAAGCAATTATTATTATTTTTATAATACATGTTACTGTGGTTCCAGGTTTCTGTCCAAACACATTGATAACCTTGAATGCTTGATACTTTGCAATTTCAAAATTAATCTATTATGAGGGTTTAATCAAAGCTTTATGAAAGTCTGAGTATACTACATAAAATATACTATGCTGGGATTCATTACTGGTGTATATTTTCCAAAGAATTCCTACAGATCATTTGCCTTTGAAGTGTTTTTTTCAGACACAGTAGAATGTAATCAGGACCTGGAGATTTACAGTATCTTGACTGATTTGAGTACCACTAATACTTCTTCTTCTATATCAATAAAAGTAATAATTTCATTTAGTGATAGCATTATTTAGTCTGAGATTTTGTGTATTCTTTTATTGAAAAAAGAAACATCTGATACAACAGATACTTACCTTCATTGTCTAAACATTTTTTGCCGTTGTTTTTGCCTCTGAGATACTTTCTTCAATCTTCAACTGTTTTCCTTGCTGAAATAAATCATCATCAAATGATCATTGCCGTTGTCATTGAATCAATCGTAATGGAATTTAATGTAAAAAAGCGACATTGTTGGTGTTTACTGACACCTAGTGGTTCATTTACTTCCTTATCTAAAGGCAAAAGATGAAGGTGTTTCAAAGGGTCAGGACTCATATTGACTCATGTACAGTAGCCCTTGTAGTTTGACATGACTGTTAATAAATTTAAACTTGTCCATTTTAATACACACACACAACATACATGTTAACAATGATGTCCCATTTCACTACAAATAATGTGTACATACTTTTACCAAAGTACAAGGGTTCAAACAGAACACTTTTATGGGAGAAAGAAGCAGAGGTTCAGACTCCAAACCTAAAACAGTTGATTGCATAAGTATTCACAACTTTTACTAATACAAACCTAAATTTTTTCACATGTCTAAGTTAGTTTTAAATTTTAATATCATGTGGCGAGAGCTAAAGAATGTTCTGCACACAAGAAAGCCCTCAAACATCACCGAGCTGAAGCAGTTTTGTAAGGAAGAGTGGGCCACAATTCTTCCCAGGAGATGTGAGAGACTCATCACCTCATAGAGGAAATGTTTAATTCAAGTTAATTTCTTCTAAAGTGTGTGCCACCTGTTACTGTATCAAGGGTTCCACTTACTCAAGTACATTTTTTGTGCAGTATTTCCAAATGAGGTTAGTTTGATCAAATGCTGCTTTTCTTATTATCCAAAACTATTGATTCAATTCCTCTCACCTACTGTAGCTATGAAAAGATTGCTTCAGGATTAATTTGTATTCAGGTGAGGTAAGTGCATTCTGTCTTTTACTCTTATCAAATAATTCAGTTCAAATAAATTTTCCCTCACGGAAAACAATTTTCTTATTTTCCCTTTAGTTTTTTTTATTAACTCTTGACCCTCTTGAAATGCGAGTACATGAAGTGAAGTGCTTTTTGGCCTTGGTGGGTGGCGAGTTGCTGATGCATGGAACTCTTTTGTAATAAACTTGAAAGACAGAAAGGTAGTCTTTGTAGTATTAAATGACTCAGGTGTCAGTCTATTATTGCTGTGGAAAGCTTTCATATAAAATGTAATATTGTTAATGCTATTGTCTCTGCTTTGTAATTATCAGATATGTGAAAAGGAATTGTGACAATATACCATCTGAAAATAAACATGCCCTGATTGTTAGACAGCACTATTTCCTTCTTGTTTCTAACTGTATGCAGTGCTGTAATTTAAATCAGTGCTCAAGGGATATCGCCTCTGAAAATTTGTCCTGTACCTCTAAAATGCTAAGCATCCTTTTTCTGACCAAAGAAGAAGATTTGTGCACAAATGCAGTGTGGAACTTCCAAACCCAGACACATAAGAAAAGTTGTTTTGTCTTTTTTTAACTTATCCAGTTGCTCAGTCTTACTTTTTACCATATTTTCGAGCCTTTAGGGTTTTTAAGTCTTTAACATTCAAATAACATTCCATGTACATATGACACTGCATCAGGAACAGCAAATCTTTGAGTGTGAAAATCTATCGAACTTAATTTCTATATAGACTTAAGGATTCTTTTCAGCTGTGTTGGGTTAATCAATATTAAACTACAGTGTAATTTTGCACTGAGTGGGTGCTGGCACTGTAGCCTCAGAGCTCTTAGGTCCTAAATTGCAGAGGCTTCTGGGAGAACTTTGTCTGTATTCCCTGTAACTGCGTGCACCTTTGCTGGCAAATGTTAATTGGTGTCTCTGTATTGTCTATATTGAGTGTGTGATTGTGTGTGAGTGTGTGCAAACGTGTGTATATGCCTTATGATGGACTGGCATACCATCTCAGATTCAGTATTGCCTTAGGGTACCATAATCTTTACCAGGAATATGAACTTTTTACCGAAAGGTTACCAATCTTTACCAATAAATATAATTTACAGGAATTTAGATGGATAATTGTGTTGTAGCAGATAATTATATTGAATAATTAGAAAAATAATAAATGGCAAAACACTTGCGGGGATGCCTCATACTGAGGAATGCCAATGAGGGGTAGCCCCTTGTCTTTGAGATACCCTTCTGCCTCAAAACTGTTTTTAATGCCCTTTAATTCATATCCCCTTTTAATTACATGGTATATTCTGAGCGTAATTGTTTATAAATAATTGATGTAAAGTGCCTCAGAAATGCTCTGAAAGTCACTATATAAGCCTATAACCGATTGTTTGAATGAGAGAAACATGAAAGATGTGAATACTTCATCTTTGACTATTTGGCTGGGGAGTTTATTCCAAACTCCCACAATCTACTATGTACAAGATTGCCCCCTCGTTTTATTGTTTAGTTCTTTTTGACTGTCAGCTGATCATACTTTTCTGAATAGAGCAGTGATACCTTTTTTGTCACATGGTGTCTAATATTGGACACAATATTCTAAATCTAGTCTTGCTAGGGCTTGTAAATTTCAAAATAACATCCTTTGACTTGTCGTACACTTTACATTCTAACTTTCTGATTGACTTCTTTTCTTGCTTTCCTATACTGCCTAAAGGGAAAATGGTCAAATAATGTAATATATTTCATAATGTCAACATAAGTACTTACAGTTTTCATGTGTAGCTTTGAGAACAGAATTTTGCACTATTTGAAAGAGAACACAGACAAATGCATCTCTTTCTTGGGGAACATGGAATTGTTGTTTACCGACGGCTAGTCTTACATAAACTTACAATAAAAATATCCATTTACAATACAATATACAATTGTACAATATCCAAATATATTGTATGTTCTCCCTGTGTTAACATGTGTTCTCTCCAGGTCTTCCGGTTTACTCCCACAGTCCACTTAATGGTAGGCTAACTGATTGCTTGGAAAACTGGCCCAGCCGTTAGTGTGTCTGTATTTCTGTGACTTGCGATAGACTGGAGTCCCATTCAGGGCTTATCCTATCTTTTGCCTGCTGCTTGCCAAGTTAGCCTCCATCTCCCCTGCAACCCTGTATTGGATTAACAGTTCGGAAATGGATGGATATGTTTTAATTATAAATGATGCAGATGTTTGTCTGCAATTATTGTGCATTTACTATAAACAAAGTAAAAAAAGACCCATCTATGATTTGGGTGGGGCTTCAAAAGATTTTGTGTCTAATGCTTTTGTCTCTGCCTTGTAAAATGGGGGAAAAAGATCTGCGACAAATGAGAATTTTAAAATAACACAACATTAATCCTTTAGACAGTTGCATTTTCCTTCGGCACCTGCAAGATCCCTTTGACTCACAATTCCCGAACATAGCTGAAGGATTTTGTTTTATTCTGTGTGCTCTACAACGCACTGGCATCACATTCACTACAGCCCCACCTTGTGTCTTGTGTCTGCTGGGCTAGGCTCTAGTTCACTGTGGACCTTCCTAAGGATGAAGTGGTTATAAACAATGGATGGATGAATCTACATTCTGTGTTGATCAAGCTGGATGGTATCTATTGTGAGAAAAATGCAATGCTTTGTGTTTACCGTTGTTCCGTGGTTGCCTATTTTGCCAGGCAATAGGGAAACAATTAAGTCTCATTTTTGAGTGTTACTGCTGCTTTAAAATTTTGACATAAAGTAAATGGCTTTGATATTACCTTTAAAGATAATAATCACATTATTTTGTACATGCATAAATGTTAATGAGATTAGTTGAAAAACTTTTAAACACGTTTACAGCATTGTTATGACAACCTTATATTTTGAATGTAAGTCTACTTTTGTTTCTCATGCTATACCAAAAATACTATCTTTGCAGAGTGCAGAAAGAACACTTAATACAGCTGTTTGCTCACCAGGGTAGCCTATTTGAAAATAAACTGCTGACTGAGAAGTTTGACTTTTTTCTTCCAGCTCCTCTATAATGTTTCTCCTTTGTAGCCCATATCACTGGTGTTGGCCTCGATCCCCTGGGGAAAGGCACAGCCTTTTCTCCTTTGGCTTGCTTAGCACTAAAGGTAAAATCCCCTGTGACTTAGTGAGATGATTAAATCAAACTAGGACCAGCAGTGAGTGTGTTGCTGCAGTCAACTACAGATGAGTCTAGCAACCAAGCCCTGTGCCAGAACTTATCCACATAATGTAGTGTATTTAAAGGACTAGTCTTTATCACCTTGATTTTCTGTTTCATTTGATTTGACTTTCCTGCTATGTGGTTTGTAGAATTCATTGGTATAATTTCAGTTTAGAATTTGATTTATTTACTGATCTAAAAAGAAAACTTTTACATACGAGAATTCTCTGAAAAGACTTCTGAAAACTAGTTGCCAGAAAGTGTAAAGAAAAGAGTGAAAAGGGGGGTAATTATGAAAATCCCATGAGCAAAAACTGCATATTCCCAATTGTACTTTTTATTTCAGGTCTGTCAGGTTCTTATTGTTTTTCAATCATATTTAAAATAGTTAGATATAATTGCAAATAACATGAGGATGAAGTATTAAACAAAATCACACAAAACTTACAAAAGGGAATGCAATACAAAAAGCTGAAACAATAGAGTTAGATAAATGGTAGAAACTACTCCTTTTACATTCTGTTTTATGTTATTGTCTTTCTTTGCCTTGATAGGTAAATTTGAAAGAAAATTATAATGTAAGTGCTCTGTTACCCTTTATTAATAATTTCTCTTTAATGCTTGTTAAAAAAATAAAGCATTTTACCACTAACAAGTCAGAATCAACACTTATTCTGTTAGAAAAAGCTGAACAAGATTCCATTAAAAAATAATGTATAGAAATGGCAGACAGTTTGGTTATAAGAATAGTTTCCTAGATCCTAAAAAGCAATAGAACAGTAGGAGGATTTGAATGAAGAAACACACACAGGACACTTAAGGTCAGCAAAAAGATTCAAGTTAACATAAATCAAATAGTGCTTCCAATGGAATGAGATTAAATACAGGAAAGCAAAAGTTGCAGTAAGGTCAAAATACTCTATACTGAAATATGCACATCCTGAGAATGACATTATTTTTTCGGTGTCCACCCCAATGGACAAGGAGACGTCATGCTCCTGTATGCTGAATAATAATATGTCACCCATAAAGTTATTTTCAATTAAAAACAACTGTATCTTTGCTCAAATTAGATTAAGAGAGCTATTGCATTATTTGGCCAATTGAACTGTGTCCCCACATCTAAGAAATTATTTAAAGTGATACAACAAACAATTGCACTTTGGAAGTGGAGGACAGGAGCTGGATACCCCAGGCCAATGATTTTTAAAATTCCACTCAACCCAAAGCATGAGATAATACAGTGGAAGAGAGCTGGATAAAATATTTAGTCAATAAGACTTTTAGATGATTGCCATTTAAGCAATAGGGTGACAACTGATTATACACAATATGAATCTACACACAAGTGACCCGGACAACAATAAATATAAAATGAATATGAGTAAAATTTATTTAAAAATATTTGAGGTTCACCCTGAAATAATTTAATTTAAAAAGAGTTCTGCTTTATCTCAACTGTGTTTATCTCAACTGGAAGGCAATCTGTTCACATTTTGTATGATAGTAATTGATATAAATAATCAATTTAATTTTTTCATGATGAGGAGACTAATGTGAATGTCAGGTACACAACTACTAAACTGTAGATTTGACTTTAAATACAAATACATTTTAATAATAGAGAAATCATATCTCCCTTTCATACATAAATAGCCAACTATATAAGAAATATCTGAAAATACCAGCTGACACCATTTATTTTAGTTATTTTTTGGGTTGATTTATTTTATGTTATTGACCATGAAAGGAAATGGGTCCAGAGTCTTGTTATTTTTGGCATCTGCTGCTTTTCATTGGCGTGAAAGCTTAGCTTGCTCTAGTTTTCTCTTGAGTCCTACACATCTCAGTGTCAGCTCAGCATGCCGGCGCCTCAGCATCTCAAGCCTCTGACTCAGAGCTTCGGAGGCATCTACCTTTTCTTCAAAGTCCCGGAGCAAGGTCTCATTTCCCAGAAGGCCACACTTCTGCCGGAGCTTCAGGTTGTCCGTGCGGAGAGCATCACGGGCCTGTTTGGTCTTGGTGAGGATGTCCCTCTTCCGAGCTACCAGGGCTTCCACCTCTGTAAGTTGAGCCTTCTTTGCCTGGTTCTCCACCTGGACAAACTGCAGTTTCTCCTTGACATGGGTGAGGACCTGGACTGTGCTGGTAATCTTCTTCCGGAGTTTCAGGAGCTCCTCGTTGCGCTCCTCAATCTTCTCGTTGTACGTCTGGTTCTCAATCTTCAACTGCTCAAAGTCGATGAGGTGCAGCCCTTCAGCCAGCTCCTCCTTAGCCTTCAGCATAGCCTCAAATTTCCTGACCTTATTCTTCAGCTTGATGTTCTCTAGCCTCACCTGGACCAGCTCGTTCTCTTTCCGCTGCTCATTGGCCTGGATCTGCTCCACTTGTGCGACAGCGGCTTGCTTTCCTAGGCGCCGGCTCATGGCTGACACTGCCACCTCCTTCTTGAAGCCCATGAAGACCTTCCACTCACTGTCCACCTGGCTCACTTTTTCCTGGGACTGGGCTCTCAGCTCCTTGATCTGCTGCTGGTAGCTCTCTGAGTCCCGCCTGTGCTGCCATTTCAGGTCCTCCATTGTAGACATGTACTTGAGGTAGCGCTGCTCCTGATCTGAGACTGGCTTCTCTTTCTCATGACGGATTTCCTCCCCTGTCTTCCTGCGGAAATACTCCACTAACTTGTTCTGTAGCTGACCGCTCTGCTGGATAATATTCGCCTTTTCCTTCTTAAGTTCTTTGTACCTTTCCATGTATTCTTCATAGTTTATGCTTAGGGCTTCTTCCTCCTCTTCTTCTGTTGGGCTTGTCTCTCTTTCTGGCGCCTCCAGCTCCAGCTCTAGGGGAGCATTTTCCTGCTGGGCCACTGGGCTGCCCTCTCGAGACAGCAGCTCTCCTATGATCTGCTGCCCTTCTTCCTCCTCTTGCTCTCCTAAAACTTCACTAGAAGGCACAACTTGCTTCTCCTCCTCTTTTACAGGTGTTGGTGCATCTTCAGCAGCACTATCTCCTTTTAACTCTTCTAAGGTTTCAGCTTCAGCTTCGGCAGGTCCTCCTAGAGACTCACCTGAAACCTCATCTGCTGGCCCCTGTCTGGTGCCGGGAAGGTCACTGTTAACTTCAGGCAACTCTTCCTTTTGTTCCGTCCCAGCCTCGGTACCATCCTTTTCAGCTAGCAGTTCAGCAGTGCAGTCATTGTTATTTCCAGCTTCATTAGATTCTCCCTCGAATGTCTCTTCTTGCTTTTCGGTTTGGGACAAACCGTTAGTGTTCTCCGCTTCAGGAAGGTACTCTGTCGTTTCCTCAACAGTTTCGAGTTTGGGGGGCTGTGACGCCTCCATCGCAGTACGAAATAATATAAGAATAATAAGTCACTATTTGTTCCTATCCCGCTGTAAAATAAATGTAAATCTATTGTTAGCTGTAAAGTTAGCTCAAACTAAACACTGGGCCCAAAAAGAAAAAAAAGAACCCAAAACTGAATCACCTAGAAATTACACCTACTGTACCTTTCCTGTCCAACTATTTTATAAACCTAATGCGGTGTCTTTCGGTTGCCCCAGAAACGGGGGCGTAACCCAACCAGCATGCGCGTGATATTTATATTAATGAGACGCAGGGAGCAGAGCGGTAGCTGCTCAGTGCGCATGCGCCTGCCTTGGAGGCTGTGCAGCTTCAACAACAAGCAGCAGCAGCCTGCAACATGGCCGACCTGGGCAAGAAGTACTGCGTTAATTGTCTAGCAGATGTAACGAACCTGCGGCTTCGTTGCACCGAGTGCCAAGACATCGAACTCTGTCCAGAATGCTTCTCTGCAGGCGCCGAAATAGGCAATCATCGGCGATGGCATGGGTATCAGCAAGTAGACGGGGGACGCTTTACTCTTTGGGGTCCCGAAGCAGAAGGAGGCTGGACCAGCAGGGAAGAGCAGTCGCTACTGGATGCGATCGAGCAATATGGCTTTGGAAACTGGGTAAGTTTTCTTTTATTTTCCCACGGGATGGAGAAGAAGAGAGAGGATTACGTTTTGATGGTGACAGTTGAAATTGCAGTACTCCAGTATTGTTCTGTTTCAGCAAATGTCACGTTTGTGAGTGAGTGAAAAGTTAATTTGAAATCGGTTTCAATCAGGAGGACTGGCCAAACTATAGGTAAGATCAAAAATTACTTTGTCGGTTTACTGAGAATGTAGAAAACGCGACAAATTAAAGATTTATATAAAATAAAAACCTGTGATTATTAAGAGCGTTTAAACATTTTAGGATTTTGAACGCTTCGAGTGGAAAAAACTATCGCATCGCAAATACGTGAGATTTTAAATGCTATAGTAAAAATGACTGTGTAAAGAATGTGTGTTTTGCACCATCAAGAAAGTAAAAAAAACATAAATTCTTCCCGTACTACACTATACATTATTAAGAGTTTTTCTTAGAATATCCATAAACAGACACCTGCGTGCTTGTGCGATTTAGCAATTTGTTTGCTGCCATATATATGCAATTAGATATAACCACAGGCAATTATTCCAGTTTACAGGAACGACGTATTTTTGCCTACAGAAAGCTTGTGAATAGATTTTCTCCATGGATGTCTAGGACTTTGTTGTGAACATTGCCCTAGTCCAGTGAACATTGTTCACTGCTGATAGAGAGTGAGTTTTCAGTGCTGTTGGTATCCACAATGTCTGTATATCATTTTAAACCTTACTGTTCTATTTTGCATAAAACAGCATGTTCTGTTTGTGCTAAGCTTAATTTTTAGTTCTGTAATTTATCTGCATGATTGTTACTTACCGAGGGAAAGTTTTTGTATGTTTTGAGTTATGCCAGATAAGGCCATTGGCTAAGCAAATACTAAGACGTGTGTAGTTTCTCTGTAACAATGGCTGCCTGTGTAAAGATTTGTATCATTGCCCCACTAACGCAATTGTATTGTTCCAGGAGGACATGGCAGCCCATGTTGGAGCTTCAAGGACGCCACAGGAAGTCATGGAGCACTACGTGACCATGTACATCCACGGTAACCTTGGCAAGGCCTGTATCCCGGACAGCATCCCAAACCGAGTGACGGACCACACATGTCCAAGTGGGGGGCCGCTGTCTCCCAGCCTCACCACCCCACTGCCGCCCCTTGACATCACCGTCGCCGAGCAGCAGCAGCTGGGCTACATGCCCCTGCGCGACGACTACGAGATCGAGTACGACCAGGACGCCGAGACGCTGATCAGCGGGCTGTCGGTCAACTATGATGACGACGACGTGGAGATCGAGATGAAGCGGGCCCACGTGGACATGTACGTGCGCAAGCTGAGGGAGCGGCAGCGGCGCAAGACCATCGCCCGCGACTACAACCTGGTGCCGGCCTTCCTGGGCAAGGACAAGAAGGAGAAGGACAAGGAGAAGCCGGCTGCCGGGGGGGCGGCGACAGCGGCGGCGGTGGTCGCAGCGGCGGCTCCGCCGGCAGCGGCCGGCTCCTCGGCCGCGACGCCAGCCCCCAAGCGCAAGATCACCAAGGAGGAGAAGGAGCAGCGGCTCAAGCTGAGGCCCCTCTGCCAGTTCATGGCCTGCCGGGAGTTCGAGGAGTTCTTTGAGAATATGCACAAGGAGCGGGTCCTGAGGGCCAAGGTGCGGGAGCTGCAGCGCTACCGGCGCAACGGCATCACCAGGCTGGACGAGTCGGTGGAGTACGAGGCGGCGCGGCACAAGCGGGAGAAGCGCAAGGAGAACAAGAGCGTGGCCCAGTCCAAACGGGGAGGGGGCGGAGGAGGTGGGAGCGGGGGCGGCGGCGGCGGTGGTGGTGGCGGGGGCAAAGAGGAGGGCAAGGACAGCGAGTTCGCCGCGATCGAGAACTTGTCCGGCTTCGAGCTGCTCTCCGACCGGGAGAAGGTCCTCTGCAACTCTCTGAACCTCAGCCCCACGCGCTACCTGACGGCCAAGACCATCATAATCAAGGACCACCTACAGAAGCGCCAGGGGATCCCCTCCAAGAGCCGTCTCCCTAGCTACCTGGACAAAGTCCTCAAAAAGAGGATTCTGAACTTCCTCACCGAGAGTGGATGGATATCGCGGGACGCCTCTTAGTCTGTCTTACTTCGTTGCCCGTTTCACTTCATTGCCAATTTGTGTGTGGTTTACTTTTCACAAGGTGTTCTGTGTGCTGTGTCTGACCTCTGTAAGTTCCGAATGGGCCAAACTACTGGACGTTATTTTTTGTTTCTTTCTACGGGAGCGTGATAATGCTGGGACTGGCGAAAGAAAGAAGTCAAAAGCTGTTTGCGGTTTATTTAAGCCTTTTTAAAGCTGAGCATGCGAGAAAACAAAATGGCAATAACAGAGTAACTGAAGAACAACGTTTGCTTCTCTCCTGTGATCTTTGCCCCAGGGCTCAACTACAATCCCTGAACTTACCAATGTGGGTGCTGTTTTACTGCAGCTCTTCGTCACTCGTGTATGGAAAAGATCTCCGTAATAACTTTGAAGTCACAACGAGGCACCGCCTTTTGTGTAAGGGAGGGAGACCCATGCTATTGTTAACATTTATCTCCTACAATCCAAAAGTCATGCTGGATTCATTTGGCTTTGTCTTGAGAGATAAATGCACGGAGAGAAAAAGTGTCATTTCTGTTTTAGGAAAGAAACTGCTTTGTACAGTTTCAGGCAGCTGGGATATTCATTTGGCCTGTTGAGTCCTTTGGGGGGGGGGGGGGGAGTTATTTTGTAATACTGTATATGCATCTCCCTTTTCTATTCTCGTTCTCTGAGTTTGTTCGTTTTTGTTTTAGTTGCCAAAATGTTTGTAAGAGTGAAGCTGTCCGAGCGGGCTTTGTCAAGGAAGAAAGAGCCAAGTGTATCGTTGTTAGGGTCTGGTACAAGAAGGTCTTTTAGAAAAAGGACAGAAAATGCTCCAAAGGGCACTCGTATATATGTTTTTTAATTTAGAAATTACTAAAGATTTTAAAAGCACAACAAATACTCTCTGCTTGTCAAACAAGCACAGACATTTGGATTCTGCCATTTTATTTGAAGCCGGGTGCCCAATTCTCTCAAAAAGTCAACCCTATCTGATCTGAGATATTTCAGAATTATGGTATTTTTTTCCTTTGTGAATATATTTATAGTATGCTTATGTGAAACTTATTTTTTCTTGGGAGCTGGTGGTTTGTATAGGCCTACTGTGGAGGGAAAACGGAGGACATAAATGTGGTTATACATGTGAATCATTTCAATCTCTTGTACTGTAGCAGGTTCATGTATTTGACTGGTGGTTTGCATGTGATACTCTGGACATTGTGTTATAATTTATTGGTTCACTCTAATTCTTGCCAAGAATGTTGTTTTTCTTTCAAATACAGGACATGCAAGATTTAATTAACTGGCAGATAATGCATTGTTTAAATTGTGTGCAGCATCAAGCCATGTAGGGTCTGAAGCATGTTGCAAGTATCTTTAAAGCATTAAGTCAAAAGATACTGCTACAAGAACAGTGTCTACAGTTCTTTGTTCTTGTACTGTAGGAGCAGCTGATATACAGTAAGAACTAAAATGCAGTTTTTAGATATATAGTGTAGTTGTGAAGGAGAAGTTTGGGTTTTTATTTTGTGCAATAACTTAAATTTAGTTTTATTTCTAAACCTTTATGAGTCTCATATCGCAGTATCGATTACCGTTATTAAATAAAAATCCCGTATAGATCTTTTCACAACACTTTTTGCCCACCTGAAATAAAATCCAAGGTTTAGTATATTTATATTACCTTAGCATGTTGTTTGTAAAACCTCAAAAGACTGCAGCAACCACAACTGAGAGACATTGGCAGTTACATTTTGCTTTCGCAGAGAGTAACAACTATCTTGGCATCGAGATAACTTGGCAAGTTATAACATATGTTACGCCTCCGTTTGACGATTGAAAAACCATTTTGTCAATATCTGTACAGAGCTTAAAACTGTCGCATGTTGCTGACATTAAACCAGTACAAAGTAAGATTGAATTTGCCGATAACAAAGAAATGGGTTTTGCTCTGTGAATAAACATAAAGCAGAGGTCAGTTTCTTGCTGAAAAGGAAAAAGGAAAGAAAACTATCAGTAGCGGAAAAGGAATTCACTTTCTACGTGTTTCTTTGCAGCTTGTACAAAGACAGCCCTCCTTACTCTGTAAATACCATGATAAACCCTTACAGTTGTGACTAGTAATAGGGAATGCTTCAGCATTTTGCATCGAGTGAGATGGTTTCACTGTTAAAATGCTGATAGTGAGAAAAATATGGAAACAAAGTTTCCAGCTCATACACTGAAGTATTTAACTCCTGCCACAGCCTTCATAAAATGTGTAGACTCCCTCAATAGGTTCTAAGTGTTGAATCAGCCTTTCCATTTCGTCTGTTGTATCGTGGGTTTTTACCCATTCAGAAATTTAGTAAGAAAATGCTGACGCAGGTTTTATCAAAGGTTGGAATGTTATGTGAAAAATGTCACTTCAGTCTGTTCTGTGTAAATTCAGACATTCGCCTGGAATTTGTGGTATTCTGGTGTGAGCCAGCTTTCTGTGAAAATTCTGAATTTATGCCTAGAAACAAACAGTGGGAATGTTGGACAAATTAGCAAATAAGGGTGAAAGCTGTAAAACATGCACAACTGTAAGTGGATTCCATGGAAATTGAGTACTTAAACATCTCATTGCATGAAACATCATTAAAAAAAGCAGTTTTAAGTGCTGTTTTTCTTTTTTACTGTTTCCCGATTTTGGAATTGGGTTAGTGAAACAAACTGGAAGGGGGTGTCTGTGAGTGCATCATTTTGTTGAACTTTTAGTGTTTACTGGGTGGGGAAAGAACCTGGATTTGTCTTGAGAAGATGCGAGTGAAAACTCTAAACATTTGAACACTGAGGTATGGCACTGAAACCTGTGATTCAGGCTATACTGTTTAAGATGAGCAAATTACTCTTACATTTTAGGACAGATTTTGTTTTCTCTTTTTAACCGTTAGCCTTTTTTTTGTGAGTTACTACAGTGGGTGGTAATGTGATAGAAGTGTTAAATGTCATTACTTACTGTTTGAGTGTAGCTTAAGCAATCACATTGGGGTTGTGTTTTTGTCTTATCTCAATGTAAGTGAGCCGGCTCTGTCCACTTGGTGAAACATACAGTAGTCTTGTATTTTGCAGCCCCCTGGCCTGTGTTTTAGCTATATTTGTGAAGAGCATGCTTGCAAACCAGAAGAATCACAACTTGCATGTTTTTCATTTGTTTTGATCAATGCCGTTGTCAGCCAGTGACTAAATCCTGTGTTAGATTTTCATTATTCTCTTTTTGTCTACTTTTGTGCTCTACCTTTATTAAGGTGGACACACATGTGGAGGTTTGTGTTCCTAAGCTTGATTTACTGTTTGGAAATGCCAAGTAAACAAGGAGGGGAAATTAAATTTGCCCCAGAAGGATGCTCATATTACTTTCTTAACAAATGGCGTGTTGCTTTGTTGACTCAGCATGTTAAACTTTCTAACATCCGACTAGTTTTCTCCGACATGTAAAAATATTAAGCTAAGTGTTGCAGTTGATATAAAAATATTTCATTCAAAAGTAATTTCATGTCAGTAGAGGAGCCATTTAATATCTGTTTTGGTAATCTGAGATACGAAATGATCATTCAAGTTATTAAACCCATTCAAAGTTTCAGTTAAATGTTAACGTTTTGTCTTTTGTATTTCATGGGAGTTTGTTAAATATTTTAGCAATTGTAAATATTTTTTGTAAAATAAGAAAAAAAAATATAAAGATTGACCTGTGAAATGTAAAGTATTTTATTTCAGGAATATTTTATAACTTTTGTACAAAAAAAACAACAAACATGTCAAAGCCTTCCTCATACTGTCTGAGCATGCTGTGAAACTTGTGTTTAGGTAGAGTAGGCATTTTGATGTTAGGATAATACTTGTTAAATTTGAGGGGGGCTTTATTCTGTTCTACTCTTTGTGATTGCACATCAAATTGTGTGTCATTACATGTTTTGTATTAAAGTGCACATACTTTGTTTCCTGCTTCATTCTTTATTTAAAATACATTTTTACCAACAGTAGCACTATGGAGTTAACTTTGCTGCCTCACAGTGCTGGGGTCCTGGGCTCAGTTCTGGTTTTGCTTGGTGTCTTTGTGGAGTTTGTATGTTCTCCACAGGTTCACATGGATTTCTTCCCACAGTGGTTGGTTAATTGGCTTCTGGGAAAATTGTATGTGGCTGTGTGCATGACTGTTTTGTATCTGTCTGCCCTGTGATGTACCTCTTGCTTGGTGGGATAGACTCTGGCTCCCCCACGACCCCGAATGGGAAGGAGCGGTAAGAAAGTGGATCAGTAGATGTTTTAACAATATTCTGCCTGGAAAACTCCACGATCAGACACATTGAAGTCTTAAGAGAGACTTTCTGTTTTTTTCATTATTTCTGATTGTGGAAAACCCACTTAGATTCTTAATATAGATTTTTAAACGTAGATGAAAGGTGAAGGCTTTTAATCGATCTTTTCCTCGGGAGACTTTGTATTTACAGAGGTCTGATTAGGATCCTTGTTCCTCTCTAAGGTGTATATTGTTTCGAAACTTTCATGCTGGTGGGAATTGAGCTGGCAAATTGTTTGCAGTTTAGGGATGCAGCTTCACACATTGTATGGAAATAATCTTAAGTATAAATTTAAAATGGTCAAGTGAACATTATTCAATAACTAAATATTGCTGCTTGTTTGAAGGATATTGCTGCCTTCTTCACTGACTTCAGAAAGTAGTTTCCCAAAATATTATTCTAGAGAAGTAACATGCTACAGTTCTATACAATAGTGACATGGTTAAAGGTAAACATTTGGGATACCATCTAATTTGGTTTACATGTATCTTAAGGTCTTATAAAGACCTTAATTTTCAAATTGCATCCCTTAGTCCTGGTTTATAGTTTGCATTTGTTAATTTAAACTTAACATATCGGTGCAATTTATGTATCAAGAAACAGATTATGACTCTCTTCCCAAAATGCCTGCTTTTATTGAAAATATTAATAATATAATGAAGAAGTTTACAGACATCCAGATATTTCTTGAAATAAGTCAGGTTAATCAACATTACTAATTCTTTCAGCTGCCACTTTTATTCAAAGCAACATACGTTTTCAGCAGCCGGATCTTTTGTTGGAACATTTTTTGTGCTTAAATCCTTTGGCTAAGAGTACAACTGTGTGTCAGCTGGGATTTGTACCAAACACCTACTTGTTCAAACTGTAGATATGACTTGGTATCTTGTTCTATACTCTTACAATCCTCTATATAACTCTGGGATAAGTAAATCCTCTAAAGACATGCTGCAGGTTTTTGGTTTTTAAGTGCCCATCCATGTAGTTCCACCCGTGTCCTCTGGATTGTTTCATTGTTCATACTGAAGTTGTCCACTGGGATGACTCAATCAACACCTTTGAACATTGTTTGAATACTTAAATCAGGCCCATTGAAGTCTGTGCTTAAAACCAAAATCATTCAGTTCTCAGTTCTTTTATCAGTGTAGATGAACATTCCTTTGAGCATTAAAATATGTCTGGTTACTCCTCTCTGGAATGAATCCAAAGCAACACATGGTGTCCAAAATTAAACACAATATTCAAAGTAATGGTACATAACATCCCTTGATTTAAATTCTATACATTCAACACATTTGTTTTTCTTCCCCAGATTGTTGAAATTACGAGACGATATACTCAAGTACTCTTTTTCACAAATAACATCTTGAAGCTCACTTCTTCCATGGTTTTACCAGTCTTGAATTTTATGTAGATCTTTTTGAATTTCATTTGTTGCTTCTACAGGGTTCATTAATCTTACATATTTGCTTCACTTGCAAATCTAACTATACCACAATCTACATAATTGATATAAATTTGCGAGAGCATTTGTCCTTGCACGGATTTTTGTAGTTCTCCACTCATTACACTAATCTATTATCTGTACTTTGTTTCATATTTATTCACCAATCTCAATTCAAACAAACATTTCCTTACCTGTAGTTTGAGAATCAATCTTTTATGATCCTTTGTCCATCTTTTATAACTTGTCCATTGAACAAATTACTATTAACTCTAAACTAGTTAGGACCTGCCTTCACTAAATCCATGCCTGTAATATCTCTATGCCTCTTATATTTTAAAAAAAGTTTTTAAAATTGAGAAAAAGTTCAGATTTAATGGTTATTTGATTAAGGATTGAATTAAGGGTTTCAGTTTAGTGTCAACTGTGTATTTCCTGAAAATTAATTCTTTGCAAACAAAGCAAACAATAAGAAATATTTTAGTGGGTTTTTAATTTATGTTGGGAATTGTTGCCGAAAATTAGACTATACAGTAAAGACAGAACAGAATTTGAATGGGAACATTGTACACAGATTACCTTCAAATGCATGATAAGAGTAAAACTAAATATTGTACAAATATTTATAGAACTAAACATTTATGTTCCAGTAGCATAAAACTCAAATTACCATGAATGTATAACTGAATAAAAAACATAAAACATTGACAGGAAACAAAAACACAGCAGCTCTTTTCCCTAGATTATTCTGTAATATTATTAGTATGGTTAAAGAATTTACTAATACTGTATAGTGAAAAGATTCACAGACATGTACGATGGCATCCAGCTGCACTTGTCACAGGAATGAGTGCAAGAATAATTTCAAAATTTCAAAGATCCTATTGGAACCATTCAGGTGCAGAACCCTACCAAGATATGGAATGAAATAATACATTGGAATGTTTGCAACAAGACTAGTGTTTGCTTTTAATAAGATGTAATTTATCTTCCAATCACTAAGGTTCCTGTCCAGCGAAATCCTAATTGGTGGACGGAAATTCAAGGTTTCATGAAATATGTGAAGTGCCAGTGGGCAGTGTTGTAGAAAATAAAAATATGAATATTAAAATATTTAGATTTGAAAATGGAATTGTATGTATTATCATCATATAATCTCACTAGAGAGAACATTATTAGGTAAGTACATGGTGTGTACTGTCAACATGTTTTCTCATATGAAGTTCTGATTACCTAGTTTTTTTCAGTAATGAGGCCCAAAAGACAAAGCAGGTGATAAAAGAGTTAACTTAGCAATATTATATGCACCTAAGTATAGTTGCCATACCCTGCGGTGTTACAATTAACTTCAAACACATTAACAGGTGAAAACAATGGATAAGAGTTAGCACAGATCAAAAAGGCTTCAACAACCTGAGGAAAAGGAATGGAAACACCCTTCCAAAGGTAATAGACAGCTCCTGAAATACATATCTCTGTGCCTGAACTAAGTGTTTTTTAATTCATACTGAGGCAGTTTTCTTCATCGCCATGCTATTTTTTTTTTGCATCTAGCAGGCTGGGACATCATTTCAGAAACCTCGCAATTCCTTGGCCTTCTGTGACACCTTTAGTTCCCCCCGAATGTTGGTTCAAAGGCACACACCTGCAGCTGTGGCCTTTACAAATGCTAATGCAATTTTTGCATCTCTCTTCATAACACTGTCTGATGAAGTTCAATGGACATTTTACCGCAGACACCTACAACCCTTAAGGTTGCCATTCCTAATGTTTCCCTCCCTCCCTCCCCACCTCTGATTTTGTTTACCCTCTATCCTCACTTTTCTGCTTAACTTTCTCTTCTTCCTAACAAAAACTCCTTTGTTTAAAAAAAAATGAAAACACTTCAAACTTTAACTCCCTCAGTTTCTTCTCAAAGCCAAGGTTTTGTAAGCTATTTTTTTTATTAAGAAAGTGTTATAACGTGGAATAAACCTGAAAATGCTGCAAAGAGCGCTTACATACATTGTACATGTTTACAAAAGAAATTCAAACTATGAGACATTAACCTGATTTCTTGTAGTTTTTTTTGTGGTTAACGGGTTTAGCTTCCTTTGGGCTGCTAAAACGCGAGGAGACAATTATGATAGGCTATTCAAAATATGAAAACAAGGTTCATCTGCATTTAGAAAAATATATTGTCGAGCAGAAATGCATAACTTGTAACACAGTGGGGGGAATCAAACAGATTAAGAGTTTCATTTTAGGTTACAAGTTTTTTCAATTACATGCTGTTCAAAAATCAAGTCCAAAGATACTTTGAATTTGAACAAAAACCCCAATCCGTTACCCACCAAATACATTCTTTTTACAAATTCTGTTATGGTGCTTTTGCAACACCCACCAACGCAGGCCTCAGAGTGCGCCCATGCAGCTTGTATCCCACTTTCGTAACCATGGTTACTGTGCCCGGTTCCTTCCCCTCCACAAAGGCATGGAAGAGAGCTTCATGTTCATAGGGGTCAAACTTCTGCCCCGCAGGGTTAAGCTTGACCAAACCATGCTTGGCAAACACTTTCTGAATCTGGACCTCTGTCATGACCAGCCCTTCATACAGACTCTTCAGGTGAGGATTCTCTGGAGTCACCTCCTCTTTGGGGACACTCACTGTCGCCTTTTCCAGAATGTCAGCAACTTCTAGTAGGTCTTTGCAGAATCCTTGAATACCTAGTGATTCATATTAATAATGGCAAACAAAACAATTAAAATGTGATATATCCCAAACCTATTGTTCAACATTTAGGGAAATAATTCCTTTCAACAGGAAATGTATATAACATACACCTTATATATATACACACAATACAGTGCTCTTTAAAAGTATTTGAACAATATAGACAAAATGTGTTTTTGTGAAGCAATTTGTGTGTGTAATCAAGATTTATACTGTACTTGTAATTCATATTTATACACATTTATTTTCAGGTATTTCCATGTATTTAATCATATTAGACCAAAATATACATTGTCCTTCATATTTTGACAGATGATAAATACCAAGATGAGCTCAAAGAGTTTTTGATCAAAGGTTTATAGACAGATGGGACCATGAACACCTTTACCAAAGTGAAGGAGAGGTTAAAGAGCAGAGAAAGGAAGGAACTAGAGATGCTCTGAAGAACACCACATCATCTCAATCTTTACTGATGCTGTAATTTGTGATGACGGGTGCAGATTGCATTCTGAAGGCTACAGAAACCTTCTACCTGCATATTTAGGAAACGCTTCCATATGTATTGAGCAGCACTACAATGTACAATCAATGCAACCAAGGATTTCACCAGAAGAAAAAAAATCTTATTATAACCAAGTCAGTCTCTAGACATAATTCCAAGTGAATATGCATTTTACCACCTGAAAAAATCATTTGAACACTGATAAGACTGTGTAAAAATGTGAAGTGGCTGCAACAATTTAAAGTGTTTGGTAGCACAATGGGTCACGGATTAGGTTATGTGCTTATTGACACTAAAATGTACTTAAAATAAATGTGTCTCCATAGAAATCACTAGACTGAACTTTTTTTTCCTAATATAATCAATTCAAATGCATACATAGAATTACATGGAATATACTCCTAAATCATCATAGCCTCACGATCACAGAGGCAAACTGCTTGTCTGTTGCGGAATGAATACTTCTTGATTGGGTACTGTCGTCCAGTTCCTTAAAATTCATCCATCTTCTAAACGCTTCATCCAATTCAGGGTCATGGTGAAGCCGGAGCCTATCCCAGCAAGCAATGGATGCAAGGCAGGGTACACCCTGGATGGGATGCCCGTCCATCGCAGAGCACACACAGACGTGCACCCACTTAAACCATGGCCAGTTTTCCCCAGAAGCCAATTTACTTCACCAGTACGTCTTTGGACTGTGGGGGGAAAGTGGCACACCCATTGAAGACCTGGAGAGAATTTACAAGCTCTACACAGAGCATCCCAGGTCTGGAATGGAACCCAGGGCTCTAGCACTGTGAGGCAGCAAAGGCTAACCACTGGGCCGACCCAAATAAAAATCTGAGCGGCTCATTTTTAAAAGTAAAGAAGAAAAATTTCTTTAGGATTCAAGTCTCGAAGCTGAAGGGCGCAAGGAGGGAAAACATACCCAGGAAGAGATGGCAGTCCTTCCAGGGCACAAAGGGCAACTAAGACACTACCACACTAGCCCGTATTTCAGTGGAACGCATAAAGTCATGATGGGCATAGACAATTTCCTACAAGCTTACCATATAATTTAGCTTCTTCCACCATTTTCTGGCTCCTCTGCCTTAGGTTTTCGGTGTCTGCAAGGGCCCTCTTGTACTTGTCCTGTTAAAACCATAAGAGAGGTTACAAATAAGAGGAGGGCATTCGGCCCATCAAGCCTGTTTAGTAGTTAAATATTTCATCCGGCTGTTGCTTGAAAGAAACCAGCGTATCACAACTATATCCTTTAACAACTGTTAAAGGAATTAAATGAGGAAATCTATGAGGACTGAGCAATAGATGAATAATTTTCTAATATGTGAAACCTCCGTCATTTTCAGCTGTTTGCTCTGAATATGAAAATCCCCATCCCTAAGTGATATAACCACCCACAGGCCTTAGAACTGAGTGCCTGAGTGCACACACATCATTCAACAAAAATGCAGCATGTGTTTGCTCCTAAAGAACAGAATGTGATTTAGAAAAATCTTCGAAGTGTTCAATTTCCATTAAGATACTGAAACCCCCCCACCCAAAAAAAATATAATTTGACTACTCGAGTGTTATAACATCTTCTCAGACAAATACCACACTTGCCTATATCTAGAAAAAAAAAGTACTTTGGCTGAACATCTTTTAAGAATACAACTGAGACGAGAGTGACAGAACATGAACTCATAGCAGCGAAATGAAGCGAGTTCTACGTGGTTCAGGTGTCAGCTCAGAAGAACGCTTACGGTGATCTCTTTCAGCTGCTCTTCAAGCTGACTCTTCTCCTCTGCCAGCGCCTTCTCGGCTGGGGTCTGCTGAGCGTGCTGCCCCCCGCCCTGCTCCTCCTCTGTGCTCTGCCCATTGCTCTTCTGCTGGGCAGCAGTGCAAAGCAGTCTTGGGGAAGCCCTGTGGAGGAAAGCACATCTCAAGGCCTGAAACGTGAAACTGACACTTATTTGTACCGTTATGGGCGTTTGCAGTGCATTAACGTTTCCTAAAGTGATGGAAACTTGTTAAACGTAATAAGTACTGCTACGCCTGTGCTCAGCCTGCTCAGCGCATTGTAGATCTGTAGCCTGAACACAGAAGAATACCACCTGAGGTCTGAGCTTCTCTACTATGACAAAGTAGCTGGGATAGTGCTGGCTCCTTACAATTTAGAGAACTGTATAACGAAACGGACGGCATTACTATAAAACAAGAATCCCAACACATAAGACTAACATGTAAGTAATACAAAGCAAAGAACATGGTGGCTCTGTGGCTAAGGATCTGTGGCTGGAAGGTTGCCTGTTCATATCCCGTAGCCAGCAGAGGAATCCTACTCCGTTGGGCCCCTGAGCAAGGCCCTTAACCCCAACTGCTCCAGGTATAAATGGAGCAATTATCCAACTGTGCCGTATAAATGGCTGACCCTGCGCTCTGACCCCAAACTTCTCTACCTGTGTATCTCATGGAGCAAAGGTTGGGGTATGCAAAAAGACAAATTCCTAATACAAGCAATTGTAGATGGCCAATAAAGTGATCTGATCTGAATTAACAAGTCACACAAAAACGTCCTCTTAATATTCCGAGATGTCCTGATCTCTAGTGACATCTGCTGTTGACGCAGTTGCAGGAGTTTGTTCTGTTCACTACGGACAATATCCCCAGTTCAGCACTAGTGTCATGCTGTTACATCACACTTTAAGTAACGAGTCTCCTTTGAAAACCTCTCCTGTATTCTTTTGCGATACTTCATTTGGGATCATGCGAAAAATAGGAAAACAAGTTACTACATTGTAATCAAAGGCAAACTGGTCAGGGTTAATTAATACACCATTATCGTGCAAAAACGTACTGAAATGCATTGTGTAACTTCGTATAAAGCGCAATTTGAATCTCCCAGAGCCAAACAAGATTATGAAATCGGTTGCTCTTCCTTATGAAGCAATTTAATGGAAGACTCATACATTTTTCTCTTGCGTAAAAAGTAAGAACACACCACATGTTGTAGCAATGCACGAAGGCTACGCTTTTCAGATTCCTACGGTATTCAGAAGAGCGAGTTCTACCCAATGGCATAAACAACCTTAAACCCTTTTAACCTTGACCGGACTGCTTTAAATAACGAGACTTACCTCTGGCATCCCCAGTGATGTAACTGTTAACCTCCACGTTACATGGCGCAAATTCAACAGCGCTAAGGACACCTCGAGCAAGTTAGGGAATGGGAAATAACTACAGACGATCGTTGATCACTTTACTTTCCTCTTACCTTATGAGGCCAGGCGATGCTATAACAGAATAGCACTGTCTTGCTGCTCTTGCACACCAGCTCGCCATTGTCACTTATCTACAGCGCACACGCCGGGGGGACACAGTAACCTGCTGCAGAGTACGTCAGGAATTTTAACCAATCAGAAGGAAGAAACAAAAGTTACTCACTAAAGCGACCAATAACAGGACGGCGGAGAAAGAGTAAAGCAGGATCTGGAAAAAGGAGTTTGGTTGTAATTGACTGAAGAGGTCAAAAGCAATTCACGTGACGTATGACGGTTTGACGTTTCAAGGACTACGGTGTTTAAATAAAATAAAATAAAAATATGCCTGTTTTCGTTGTATATTATTTTTTAAAATTCTGCTTACAGAGTTATAATTTATGCGTTTCGTATATTTAGACGTGCAAAAATCCAGTTGATTCCAGAGTTATGATGTTGCGCTATAAAACCAAAGCAGGTGGCTCATTTCTTCTGCAAAAGGTTCGAGATTGGGGAAATTGCGCCAGCGTGCGCTGTCTACAAGGTTAATTCCTTGCTAAAAATAGAATTTTTTTTGTACTAAATGATTGGGTAGTGTCTGTAACCAGCATTACATTATTATTTCTTTTTGTACTCAAGGAACAGAAAGTGCAGGGTAATTCATCACACATGTTTCATATGAATAGTTGTTTTTCGTTGTAATATCTAAAACTTTATAAGTCATTAATAGCAGGATTCCATTATACTAAAAGAAAATAAGATAATAGTCTATTATTTAGGATTGCATGTGTAGTCACAAAGAAAATGTATTTGGCCTTGTCTGCAAAATTAAACTTTGTCAGTCAGTCACAGTAGTTTGTAATCCCAGCCAACAGTGAAGGAGTGCAGTCTGAGGTGTCCCAGAATATTGTGGATTTAATCAACCTCTGGTTTCAAAATGCTATGGAACCATGGATTGTGGGATTATTTTACAAAACTGGAATAACTGCACCATAATTGTCCTCTGTATTCATCTTATGTGCTGAGCATGTATACTGTATGTGTTGCTGTGATGTTCGTTGTCATGAACATCATGAGGATATGTTTAGTAGACCTCACTGAAAGGGTGACATGGCGAAGCAGTGGTGAGCAGTGCTGAGGCCCAGGGTTCAGTTCCAGACCTGGGGTGCTCTCTGCGTGGAGTCTGTATATTCTCCGTGTGTTTGCATGGGGTTCCCCCAGGTCCTCCTGTTTCTTCAAACAGTCCAAAGACATAATGGGAGATTAATAGGCTTCTGGGAAAACTTGCCCTGGTGTGAGTGTCTGAGAGTGCCCTGCAATGGACTGGTGCCCTGTCCAGAGTGCACCCTGCCTTGTGCCCACAGCTCCTCCGTGACCCTGAATTGGACAAAGTGGTTAGAAGGTTGAAATTGACTGGGAAACCCAGCCATCAGACCCAACCTTAAAAGTTATTTTCTATTTTTATATTTCAGTATTTCAGAATGTGGAAAACCCAAGCTCAGACTCTGCTGTGACCCTGAAATGGATCAAGTGGTTAGAAAATGGATGGATAGATAGGTGGGCTGTCATCCCTGCTGGTTAGGTCTACATTTCACCATTGCCTCTGTTTCATGTGCTGAAAGCAGAGCCTTCTGTCCTTGAGGTGATATGAGAGTTCATTTTGCTAGATGGATCCTTCTCAAACATAATTTTAGATTGCTCACACTATTGAATGACTTCAATTGCACAGAACGACAATAATCACCTCCTTTATATTCCCTGTAGAACAAATTTTGATTGCTCAACACGAAGAGAGTAAAGGGCAGTTTTAAGTACAGTCATTTCATTAAAGTTCCGTTTTGCTGTTCAAACTGTGAATCCATTATTAAAACATCACATTGACTTTGACAAGTATCTGTGTCTTTAAAAGTACTTCGCCAACGCATTAAAGTTTTTTTCGTATTCAATACATTTTCTCTGTAGACAGAAAGTGTTGTTAGAAGAATATACACAATTTCAAAATATGGTATGCTGTTATCATTGATATTGAACACTTATCCTTCTTCATATTTGCACTTATTTCTCCATTATATCATGATAAAAAGCACATTCCAAAGTTAATAGAAATTATACCATTACATTCTCCATGTGATTTCATATATGTATAGAATTTAAAATTTGAATTGAAGACTGAAATGATGAATATTAATGGTGCTAAAACATTTTGCAAAAGAACATTTTAATACACTGTTAATTTTAATCAGTTGTGTGCTGGTTGTGTGCTCCTTTTGTTGCAAACTCCATGCTGGATGTGATCTGTTATGCAGGCCAGCCGTGTGGAGTGACTGGGAAACTGTTAACTAACGGAAGTCTTCTCCAATCTCAGCCCTTGAACTCTGTAGCTCTTTCAAAATTATTATAAAATAAGATCACTTTAATGGCCATACACAATATCTTGTATTAGGAATTTATCTTTTCACATACCCCAACTTGTTCTCCATGAGACACGCAGATAGGAAAGAAGCTTGGGGTCAGAGCACAGGGTCAACCATTTATATGGCACTCCTGGAGCAGTTGGGGTTAAGGGCCTTGCTCAGGGGCCCAATGGAGTAGGATTCCTCTGGCGACTGCGGGATACGAACCAGCAGTCTTCCAGCCACAGATCCTTAGTCACAGAGCCATCGCACCGCCTACTTTTGTGAAATTGTCACCAGCTTCACAAAAGCATTGCTCACCAGTTTCTTCCTTGTCTGGCTGCTCAGATTGGAGGAATGGCCTGATCTACATAGGTCCAGGTAATACAATGAACTTTTAATTTCTTGATAATTGAGTAAACTGAGCTCATAGGGATATTCAGAGACTTAAATATTTTTGTGTCCTTATCCTGATCTGAGGATTATTTCTGATTTGAAGGTCCTTAGTCTCGATGGTTTAGAGTTTGCTTAAAATCAAGGGTATAAATATGTATGCAATCATGACTTTTCTATTTTTCTTTCACACTTTTGCAAGGCACTGTAAATGCTACTTAAGGTGGTTAAGGAACAAGTAATAGGTTTATTCCATGCTGAAAAAAAGAAGAAAGAAAAAACTGTGTGTATTACTTGTTCCTTTGCAGCCTACGCATGCTGACGCAGCTACCCACCTGAACTACTTAAGGTGGTTATGTTAAAATACTTTGTCCATTGAGGTGAACTCGCTTGATCATGTCCTGGAACACATAAAAAAATCCCTATTTGACTTTCCTTGAGAACTTTAGATTCCATCTCCTATTTATGCAAATTCCCATTGTTCTTTGTGAATCTGGATTTAAAAGACTCCACTAATGATTACTAGATCTCATGCTTAACTATTGCAATTTGAATGAGAGCACTCTTCCTTATTAAAAGTTAACAAATAATGAAAGCTCAGAATTATGTTTTCTTTACAGAAGGTTTAAACTTTTGGCAATCTTCATTTCAGTGGCTTAGTGCAAATATATTTTTAGTTATTCTGTTAGTCAACTAATAGTGGAGAATTACATGCACCGAGGACTGGTGTGGTTTGAAATAGCACTTAACAGTGAGTGTAGTTAGGCCTGAGTTTGAGAGGTGGCACTGTGGCTAAGGATCTGTGCCTATAGCTGGAAGGTTGCTGTTTCAAATCCTGTGACCGGCAGAGGAATCCTACTCTGTTGGGCCCCTGAGCAAGGCCCTTAACCCCAACTGTTCCAGGGGTGCTGTATAAATGGCTGACCCTGTGCTCTGACCCCAAACTTCTCTCCCTGTCTGTGTCTCATGGAGAGCAGGCTGGGGTAATGTGAAAAGAAGAATCCCTAATGCATGAAATTGTATAGGGCTAATAAAGTGATCTTATCTTATTATCTTCAGGGGTTCATTGCAGTGCAAGGCTTGCACTTTCGTGTATAAGATCTGCCTTGTTTGTGAAGCTGAACAACAGTCTTTCCTCCAGTCTCCAGTGTTAATTTATTAACACGTTATGCAATTATAGAGGAAAAAAACAAAAACTCTTTGTTATATAAGAAACCCAAGCTTACAGGATTAAATAATCCTTTAATCACCTTGAAAACATAATATTAAGTGTGCTTGACCTCACTGTCTTCACTAGCAATATAGTGAAGCATTGTAGCATTATTTTAAATGATAATATAATCATCCATCAAAATCTGTTTAAAAATTGTAATGGACAGACTTTAATGTAACAGATTTTAATTTTCATGTCCATCAATATCCTGTGCAGTATGATGTAAGAATAGCAATATTCAATTGCAAATTTAAATAATTTATTTGCATATGTTTTCATGATAAAATATGTGCTTTTGCTCTAATGTATAAATAAAATTGTATTCAAAAGTACATGATTGTGTGGTTGTTTTTACACCGGGACACACATTTGACTTATCAATAATAATGGAAAGTAATTATTCTCTTAGCTACTTTTGCATTATGGATGGAGATTTTCCTATCAGCGAATATTGAATATGCAATATCAGTGAATATCAGCAATATTCAATGATTGAGTGTATCTAGAAGCAATGAACCATTCAACAATACCTACACTAATTGAAGGTTTATAATAAGAATGTGTTTGAAATTTCACATGGAAGGGGATCTGGGTTGCATAATTATCGTATGCTGTGCCGTTGTATTTCATTACAGTATTTTAGTGGACGAGAGACCACTTGTCTTGACCTGAGTATTTAAATTTGTGCATTTGAATAGCTCTTTTTATCCCATAGGATCCCAGAGCACTTCACAGATAGGAGAGGACCCTCTCCATCCACTGCTGAAGTGCAGCACCCACCTGGATGACTCACAGCAGCCATTATGTGCCAGTATCCCCTCTCTGCAGCAAAATGAGGCAGAGTAATGAAAAAAATACTTCACCAGTTAATTAAAGGGAAGGCCGAACTGTGAAAGCCCAAGCTTTGAAGTCTTACAAACAATGAAAGCTCAGAGACATTGGATTTTTAATGACCACATAGCCAGGACGTTTGTTTTATTAGTCATCTGATGGATGACACCTCCTAAGCTTATCAAATTGGGGCACTGGTTTGGGATATGTGGTCCACAGGGGGAAATTTCACCTACTGATCCACCAGCACCACTTACAGCAAGTACCAAGATTTGCTTAGAGGTCTCCTGTCCGAATGCTGACC